AGGGACCAAATATGTCTGTGAAGGTTCTCAGTCACAGACATATTGCCTGTTTATTGGTCATAATATTGACATATTGGTCATCCATCCTTTTGTCCTGCTTTGGGCGGATACTCCCACAGGGTTTAAATCTGGGACTCCCCACCATTTGACCCTGGAACAGAAGAAGCTTCTTGGATGAGAGGTGAAACGTCTTCAAGCAACTTAAAGAAGTCCAGACGCTTTTCTTTCCAAGCTCCTTAGAGTGGGGACCTCTTTCTTTCACTGTCTGTCCTTTTTTCAATCACTGGAAAATTTATCAAGGTTAAATTCAAGGTCAAGCTTATAACCGCAAAAAATGCACGTGCTCTTTGTGAGCTCGTTCCCGGCTCGTAACCAGCGCGTTCTGCCGTCAAGGGCGATCATTGGTTAAATGTGATCATGTGACTGATGCAAGCCAGATCCTTTTATTTAGCAAAACTGTGACTAATAGTTAAATATTATTGTTGAGGGGCACAGACAGGACTCCGCACACATAAAAAAAAATTATTTTTTTTTAAAAAGTTGTCTCAACAAAAGGGCACTGTGGGCACCCATCAGGAAAGGGGTGGGTGCTCAAGCCCCTCTATCCCCCCCTCTGCATTTCACTTTGTGTTAAATACATCACTGAGCTCAGCTGTGGTACCTGCATGCCTCAAAACCACGAAAATCATCCCGGTGCCAAAGAAGTGCACTCAATGACTACCGGCCGGTGCCACTTACGCCCATCTTCACAAAGTGCTTTGAGAGGCTGGTATTGAGGCACATTAATACACAACTTCCACCAAATCTGGACCCACTACAGTTTGCATACAGCCCAAACCCCTCCACAGACGGTGCCATTTTGTCTGCTCTTCACCTTTCTCTCTCCCATCTTGACAAAAAGGACACTTATGTCAGAATACTGTTTTCTGACTTCAGCGCAGCATTCAACACAGTCGTTCCCCAGGAGCTGGTAAAGAAGTTGGACTGACAAGGATAAACACCCCCCTCTGCAATTGGATCTTGGACTTTCTAACTAGGAGATAAAACCTCAGACTGAGTACAGGATCGCCGCAGGGCTGTGTGCTTGGTCCACTGCTGTTCACCCTGCTAACACATGAGAATACTACACAGTACAGCTCAAATCACATCATTAAGTTTGCAGATGACACAACAGTGGTGGGTCTCATCACCAACAACAATGAGTCTGAATACATAGAGGAGGTACAACACCTGGTGGACTGGTGTCAGAATAACAACCTGTCTCTAAATGTTCAGACGACTAAAGAGATGGTTGTTAACGTCAGGAA